CAGAGGACACACGGCTTTTCATGGCCGATCTACGGAGAACACGTGGCTCTTTATGGCCCGTCTACGGAGGACAGCCAGCACCTGCGCATGCAGAGCCTTAGCGGATTTGATCAGTGACTTACCTCCGAACTGGGCAGCGCAGCCTGCCACGAGCACCAGTAGGGCCACCAAGGTCTTCATCTTTGGAGTGGATGCCAGTGCCTGCCGCCGGGCAGCTTAAGTACACAGCTCCCTCCCCACATTGCCCGTGGCGCACTTGCCCAGTTCCCAGACAGCGGGACTTTGCGTGCGGGAAGGTACGCGGCGTCGGCCTCCTGTGAGGCCCGTGCCGTCGCCAGAGCCGTGTCTGCTGCTCCGGGCTTTCCGTGGCGCAACCGGTGTGGGAAAACCTACTGAACACTTCATCTTCAGCTGGTTGTAAGAGTAGCGGGAAGAGGGAGGGGGGGGGGGGGCTTCTGGCGATCGGAGGGGGGAGTCCCCAACACAGCCAGTCAGCTGATCACGGGTCCTGCACGGCTCCGCGGCCAAGGAATGCCCACGCGACTCGGTCACCGTAGGCTCCCGGGAGCGATGTCGGCTCGGCCACTGTGGGCTCCCGGGTGCGATGTCGGCTCGGTCACTGGGGGTTCCCGGGAGCGATGCCGGCTCGGTCACAATGGGCTCCCGGGAGCGATGCCGGCTCGGTCACTGTGGGCTCCCGGGAGCGATGTCAGCTCTGTCACCGTCGGCTCCCGCGAACGATGCCGGCTCGGTCACTGTGGGCTCCCGGGAGTGATGTCGGCTCGGTCACTGTGGGCTCCCGAGAGCGATGTCGGCTCGGTCACTGTGGTCTACCAGGAACGATGTCGACCCGGCTCACGCAGGGGTGTAGTTTACTATTCAGATGAAGGGACTCCAGCCCTCTCCCCAACCTGGGCTTTATCCGCCCTTCCCCAACTTTGAGAAGAAAGCGAACCAAAGTATACAATGCGGGGAAGACCCGTTTATTGGCGGGTTTCGCGGTGGAAGGCGTTACTTTTCACTGTTCAGCCCCCCCCCCCCTCCCCAATTCGTTTTCGAGACCACACCCTTGAGCCCTCCTTAGGCTAGGGGGTTTGTAGAAGCGTAGTGATGTGCAGCTATCATGTAATGAAACGGCATACTTCGCATTGGTTGAGGAGCTTACTTATGCGGCTGGGAGCTTTCGTGAAAGAAATGGGATTTGATGTAGATGAATTGTGACGAATGCATGACCTCTAAATTTTACACTTACAAGGTGGCTGCTGGTCTGATATCGTTTTAATTGAAGTTAATGGTGTGACGCATGTCAAATAGCCTATGCTCTTTGTTGGGTTCAAAAGATCAAACGAATGGCTAATATTTTTATCGTGCCATGTCCTTGAGTCTACTTTCTAGACTTAGAGTCATGACAGCTTAGAGGCATGTGTTGTACCTTTTGATCGCGAGGCTAGTATCGTTTGTCATGTTTTGAATTTGGAGACCATAACTGGAACACTGTAGGCTTTATCTTTTACATCTGAAGCGTGCAAGCCGTCTCCGAAGTCCTGGTTGCAACACTGCAACTGGTCTCTGAAGCTTTGGTTGCAACACTGCAACTTTAGCAGAACCAAAAGTGGGTGCGCGATGTACAGAGGTGATGTTCGCGTCCAACGGCTGCTACCTTCGCAGCCATCTGTGAGAGGTAGGCGGACGCTGTGACTGTTACCTTGGTGGCTTTCTGTGGTAGGTAGGTGGACGCTGTGATTGCTACCTTCGTGGCTTTCTGTGGTAGGTAGGTGGACGCTGTGACTGCTACCTTCGCAGCCATCTGTGATAGGTTAGCGGACGCTGTGACTCCTACCTTCGCAGCCATCTGTGGTAGGTAGGTGGGTTGTGCACAGATGATGACGAGCGAAATGTCAGGAATTCTAGAGACGTCGGGGGTAGCAGAAGTGTTGGTTTCAGCAGAGGATATATATATATATATATATATATATATATATATATATCCCGGGCCCACAGCCGGTGCAATTTGTGAAGATGGCGCTCAAATATCATGACGCATATAATCCGAATGGGAACAAAGGTCCGGTCGCTCAGACTCCTGCGTGACCTGGGTCCAGTCAGCCGGGTCCAATCAGCTGTTCAGTCAGCTGTTCAGTCAGCTAAGTCGGCTATCAGATAAGTCCGGTCCGCTGGGTCTAGTCAGCCGTCCAGTCGGCCATCCAGTCAGCCGTCCAGTCAGCCGTCCAGTCAGCCGTCCGGTCAGCCGTCCAGTCAGCCGTCTAGTCAGCCGTCCAGTCAGCCGTCTAGTCAGCCGTCCAGTCAGCCGTCCAGCCAGCCGTCCAGTCAGCTCTCCAGCCAGCTGGGCTCTTCAGCCGGCTGGGTTTTTACTTGTAAAGCAAGGCTGCATGCAGCCTGGATCCATTTCAAGCAGCCCATTAATCAGTATTCACTTTGACGTATTCATTAAGGCACCCATTTCTTAGTGGATACAACCCACGTCGCCCGCACGAAATCGTGAGGTCATCGCGGGTATGTTTGCTGCGGGGTTTGTGCACCAGAACACACCAGTGCAGCAGTTCTGCGTCGTGTGTGGCTAAATATGTAGCTATAGTCTGTGGCTGTTTTCCCAGCTCCGGACGAAATATAACATTGCGGCGTTGCACGGAAATAGACGGTATAAAAACCCGGTGCGCACCTCATCTCCACAGAGTTTCCTCCGCTTCTGCAAAGGGATGGCGCCCGGGCCCGAGCGGTTCACCAACGCATGTAATTCTAAGTGTTGTTTTTTCTAGAAAACTGAATTGTGGCCAGAAATGAACACTTACGAATGGTAGAACTCCAGTGATAGTCTATTTTTTGGAAAAGTTGCAAAATTTTGGAACATTTTGGTCCCAACGATCTACAGGAGATCGCGGTCGCGTTTCAAGGGATCGGCTTTCCGTACGTTGCGCCGAGGTGGATGTGGCTGACCTTCGTTCGATGCGCACTCTTCGGGGCTTCTCTCGAGTTTGAGCTGACCTGTTTGAGGCTCAGATTTGACCCTGACCTATCTGACCTGTCAGGTTCAGGGCATGTTTCATTGCACAAGACGCTGTCAAAATGCTCACGGTTTTCCAGTTGTCGCCTTCGTCACACGACCTTAGTCGCACACGCGATACCGGCGGAAAAGCATCTTCTACCAAGGCAGACCTCGAGGCGCAGTCCAACGCACCTTTTGCTCTGCAGCTGCTCGATACTTGCCCAAATGGAGCTGCAAGACGAGCAGCTGGTCGAGCAGCTTGTCAAACAGGAGTGCGACAACGTGTGGGTCAGTATTTGTGTGGCTGTGTCCTGCGGTTGTGTCCAGTGGTTTTGGTCAGAAAACGCTCAGAGAGTCGCACAGCGTCCTCGGCCATCAGGAGGTTCAAGTGTGTGCTTCTCAGGTGGACGTGTCCGGCCATCAGGAGGGTCAAGCGTGTGCTTCTCAGGTGGACGTGCTCGGCCATCAGGAGGTTCAAGTGCGTGCTTCTCAGATGGACGTGTTCGGCCATCAGGAGGGCCAAGTGTGTGCTTCTCAGGTAGCGTCCTGTCCTGCAGTAAGGCTGAGTGGGCGCCAGGCACTCATCATTCGCTTTGCTGGCTTGAAGGCTGGTGGCTGAGCAAACAGCTATTGCCAGCCGCAGACGGGACCAGCCTCTGATTGGTCCATATTTTTCTTCAGCTGTAGCGAGCGCCTCTATTGGACGAAACCAGGACGCTTCAGGTCTGCCCCTCCGGAGGTTCCCGTCCAGCCTTGCGGGCAGGACCGATGGCGTTCAGCCCATACCCAGAAGTCGATGGTCGATGATCGCGAAACAGGTGGTGCTGAATCTGTGTTCTGACTGTGATTGCATTTAAAACTGTCAATATGGTGCCAAAAGTGGCATCGCTTTGACGTCAATACTAAATTATTTTGTTAGAGCTGGAGAAGAAAGGATCTTTATAAAGATATCGACCTTTTTGGTGAGAAAAGTCAAGGGAAAGCAAGCTTCGATAAAATGTCGAGGAAAAGACTTCCACCTTTCGAGAGATGCTTGTCAACGTCCATACCTTTTCGCCTTTTTGGCACTCGACTCCGGTAATGCTGACCGCATGTCGCGTGATTTCCTGCTAAAAACAGGACAACACGCAAGTTCGGCTCTCGTGCTTGCCAGTTATCACAGCCCGAAAATTGTGCTCGGGCGGTGAAAATGTATTTGTTTAATCTAACGACTAATTTCTGATCCCCTTGTGTTGGGGAGAAGACTGATGCGGCGTCGCCGAGGTTGTTCCCAACAGTCTACACACAGATCCTGTGGCGGCGCTCGCCGCCATTGCGGTGTACCTCCAATCAACGTAAACTTGCATGTGTATGTTAGCACTGTATGTAATGCGTGGTTTCTTGCATAAAGGGAGCAGGAGGGGTGCGACTGGACAGGCAAACACATGGCGGGCGACAAGTCCAACGTTGACCTCTGGGGCAGCGTTACAACATGAGCTTGTATCGGAAGCTTAGTCTCCTGTCTGAAGCTTAGCTTCTATCTGTTTAGCTTAGCTTCCTGCTGGGGAAATCAATCGAGGCACCCCCTCATTTTAATTTTAATTGATATACCTGTCGCGTAAGATGCAGTGAATGGTCTATATGGGCCTCATCGTGTCCAATAATGCAGCTGTTTTTCACTGTGCATCTGTTTTGGGCACGATTGCCAATGGTATCCCGAGTAAGTCAACTGCATTCGCACTTCGGTGATGAGAGTCAAAAGAGTGAGGCAGGTGTGATTTATTTTTCTAACAGTGGTTAACAGAAGTCTCCTCTCTACGAATTTGTCCTGATATTTTTGCTGAGGCGTAGAATGTGTTCACATCGCCAAATTTATATCCGAAAAGGGCCGCAGCTATCTACAGGGTTCCCAAATGCAAGTTACGTGCAAAGCGCAGCAAGAAAGCAAATCCGATAGAACACTTCGGTCCAGTTTTTGCCGTTTGTCACCAGGCAGCAAACCAATGTGCGCCTGGGTTCAAGAGAGCGCCAACACCGGGGGCGCCTCCATGTCCGCCGACGCAGTGGCGGAGTCAGCGGCGCCGGCGGGGTCGGTGGACTCTGCGTCGGCGCGGGGCCTCTTGCGACGGCGGCGGCGGCGGCGCAGGCAGCAAACGCTGCCGTCTTCGCCGACCTGCTGTCTACAGCGCAGCCTCCTCCGCCGCTTCCTGCGACTGGCCCCTCCCCCGGCCGTCGAGCTGGCATCGCCGCCGTCTGTGGCGTCAGAGTCGGCATCGGCGACCCCCGCTGTTGACTCCGACGCGTCGTTTGGCAACATCTGGTCCCCGGCGGACTCCTCGTCTCCCAGCGCCTCCTGGGCATCCCCAGGTCCGGTACCTCCTCCAAGCATGGGGGGCCTGCCGTCGCCCTCAGCGTCCGCACCGTTCACTGAGAGGCCATTTTGTCCGTCTCCCATGTCGCCCCCGTCTCCGCCACCTGTCAAGCCTTCCCCGTCTCTGGAGCCTACCATGTCTCCCGCGTCTCCTTCGCCACCTGTCATGTCTTCCCCGTCTCCTCCACCACCTGTCATGTCTTCCCCGTCTCCTCCGCCGCCTGTCGTGCCTCCGCCGTCCCCTCCGTCGCCTGCCATGTCTCCGCTGTCCCCTCCGCCGCCCGCCATGCCTGCGCCGTCTCCTCCGCCGCCCACCATGTCTGCGCCGTCTCCTCCGCCGCCCACCATGCCTGCGCCGTTTCCTCCATCACCCGCCATGCCTGCGCCGTCTCCTCCGCCGCCTGCCATGCCTGCGCCGTCTCCTCCGCCGCCCGCCATGCCTGCGCCGTCTCCTCCGCCGCCTGCCATGTCTGCGCCGTCTCCTCCGCCGCCTGCCGTGTCTGCGCCGGTCTGGCGGGCCGTCTCTACGCCATCCTGCATCGTGTCCACCTGGCCGCTCGTCGCCGGCTGCTCCTCATCCTCAGCCGGAGGTGTAGTGGGCGGCGGCGGCGGCGGAGGAGGGGGTGGGGGTGGCGGTGGTGGCTGGGTTCGGCGAGCAGCCGCTTGCTGCATCCGAACTACATCCTCGATGGTCAGTCGCTGCGGCTGGGGCTGCGGAGAAACACCAAATATCGTAGAAATTACGACAGATAAGGTACGATAGATATGGTACGATCTGTTCGAATCGCACCGAGAGGAACGGGATAAGGACCGTCCACACAGGGCGAGGGAGAGTAAGGGAAGGGCATGCATGCAGGGGAGCATGGAGGGAGGGAGTTGATGGAGCGTAACAGAAGAGTAGGAGGGGTGGAGGTTAGAAATCGTAATGCTACGCTTGGGTGTGGTTGAAAATCATGCTGGTCCCCTTTTTACGCTTTTGAACATTTGTTTGCTTATTCATTTGGGGCATAAGCAGTCCATAGGCAAAAACCTAACTGCGGAAGCAGTTCATTGCTTAAATGCAGTAAATACACGATACATACACGAACAACAAAGCTAGCCATACAGAGACATACACATTATACGCATTCAAGCATACACCTTACACAGTCACACATACAGGTCACACACAGCCAAACATACACCTCACACACTCAGATACAACGGTCATCAAAAGAACACACCGCGAGTGCCGGCAAACCTGATCAAGGTACGTCGACATGATCTTGTTGGCTGAACAAGTCACTTGAGGGAGAATGCTGTAGAAAAAAAATTGCAGGCAATGGGTAGACGTGTGGAAAAGTCCTTTTTAACAGTGATAACTATTGCAGATGGCTCGTGCAAGAGGCCAGTGTGCCGAGAGCATCAGGCGGGACTATGTGGCTAGACCGAACAGTGATGTCAGGTGAGCGCAGTCAAGCCTCAGATGATGTGCTTTGCATAACAATAATACGTCAGTTTGAGTAAAGCATGATGAGACAGATGCCGCTTTGAAATAAGCCAGAAGATGCTCATAAACCAGTGGAGGACGCCGGGACTGGGCACTCGAACCCAACCACATGAGAAACCGGCGCGGTATTCGTTCGAACTGGGAGAGATGTGAAATGGTAGCACGGCTCCCAATAATATTACCGTAGTCCATCAGCGATCTTACATGAGCATTGCAGGCATGCAGCAAAGTCTGGCACGTTAAAACCATTAAAAGTCTGACACATAGACACATTAAAGACGGATACCGTTGACTTTCTTTCACGACCATTGATGCGCCTTTTTTTGTTTCATGATCCAGCTCGATGAGGGGTCAAACAGACATTAACTTTTTGGAATGTTACGCTTAACACAACGAAACCAGAGAAAGTGAGAGGGCTTCCGTCGTAAACAGTGCTTAAACAGGAGATCAAATATTGACTAAAAAGGCGCTACCTAATTCATGGACGATCCATAGTGAACTCTGTTCGCGAAGACAGCAATAATCACGACAATGAAACTGATGTTGCAAGTTTTGCAACCGAAGGGTCGACAAATGAGGCTTTGTTTTTTTCTTTGCCTTTTCTCTATTCAAGCTTTTCGCCCGTTGTGCCGTTGACCTGACAGTTGAGTACCCACAGTGGAGTCCTGAAGAGCTGGGGAGGGGGAGGGGGGAGAGGGTCCAACATGTGTCTGAACACGTGAGCGGCCGATCTCACGCTCGGCGTGGTCAGCGAGTGTGTTACATCGGCATCGGATATTGGCCGGTACAGCTCGTAAGGCGTAAGGCAGCGTTACCACTCTAGAACGCTAGAGCACGACGTTTGAACGCAAAAGCGGCGCGTGCGGCCCTCCCTCTGTTGTACAATTCCCTGGAAATTCTTGGAGCGCTGTCGCATCACGAACGTCGAGCGTGCATACGGCAGATGTTCAACGTAACGGTTCGCTAACATAGTGTCACCTAACTATTAATTTCAGTCGTTTTAACCTACGGACACTGCGTTGGCGCAAACTATCAATCATGACAGACAGGTGGACCATTATTATGGATCAATAGCACACGCACCCTGAAGATTTGTATTTTTACTGGTACGGTTTTGCTGATCTAGGGGTGTGCGATTTCAAGCGTTTTTCAGCTTTCTCAGATTTAAAAATTTTCAGATTTTTTTCGGGCGTGCAATTTCAGCGAACATAGAACTTCAACAAACTACCAGCATAAAAGTTTTGGCAGGCTTACTGAAACTCTAGTTTCAGTAAGCTTACCAAAACTTAAAGCTAACAGTTTTTTTAAACGGCATAAAGCTCATGCCAGTTTAAAAAACTAGTAGCATTCGATTTGTTTAGCTAAAGCCTAGCTAGCTAAAACAAGTGCGAGCATTTGACACGCAGCTGTAGAAATCGCTGGAAAGACGACCCAACACATCACACGACAGGACATGTCACAGGACATGTCAGTAACATGACACAGGACATGTCAGTTTACCGTGTCCTCACCCTCACGGCCACCAAACCACAAAGCACATCAGCAGCAAGTAAACTCGCCCGTTCCCCTCGTGCCTCACCGCCGCCGCCGTAGGACCGAGCACGGCGGCGATGCCGGCCAGCAGCAGCAGGGCCGTTCTCAGCGTCCGCTGCCGCATGGTGATGACGACTGACGCGGGCCGGACGCCCAGCGGCACCTGCAGGGAGGTGACCTCATGGTGGGAGGTGACCTCACCCCCCCCCCCCCCCAGGGGGGACACAGCGGCCAACAGTCACGTCCGTTACTGCATGCAATTACCTGTAATCGGTGCCAATCGCCCGGGGAATTGGTGCGAGCGGGCGGTACCCGGGGCCGTCAGGAATCACTGATAGGCTTGTTCCAGGTGGCAGAGTAGATGGCGGAAGCGGACACCACGCGTCTGTTTTGCTGTACGCGTGCACTACGTACGCCGCTGGCGGAGCGCTTGGTGCGTTCTGTGGCTCAAATTCAGCTTTTAGCACTGGGAGATGGACGTTGTGATCACGAGATCGTGTTGGCATATTTTCGATAACCTGGTCATATTTCAGACCCGTCAGTCGATGTTCGGCAATTTTTCGGTGTACACTACAAAAAAACGGACGCTAGATGCTATACATATTCGTGTCAACGACTCTCTTGTTGCCAAAGTCCAACATTTGAGTTTCGTAACGTGAATTTTGATAAGACGACAACGACAAACGACAACATGCATTGAAATGCGGGGAAAGTTTTCCTTCCATTTGCTTTTTGCTTTAACTTGTTGCTGGTAAGAGTCCAGCTTACAGTTACGACCACATCGCAGTCCTAAGTGTAACCGTTTTTACGTATGATTCGATACAACTGTAGCGATCTCACATCAGACCAGCACACATATATCACCCTATGAATGTTATGTGCAGGCTTCACCTGCAGGGCCGTCTTTCATATGTAAGTAGCTTGATAAAAGTATCGATGAACAAGTTCGTTCGGTCGGTTCTAAACCGACTTTTCCTCACACGGAACCTTGCTTTTGCTACCCATAGGGTCCTACTAAAATTAATCAAATGATGACGTCTAATAATGCCTAATGCCGAGCAAAGCCAGGCGGGCATCCCCAACAGTCGACGATAGAGAATGCTTTCAGTCTCCCCCGTTTCATGTTCATGTTCTTTCCTTTTGTATCATGTTATCAGTGTTGATATGCGTTATCAGCACGTTATGGGTTAATAAAATGTTCTGATGATTCCACCCCAAGTCATAACAGTGTTACGATCTGACCTCCACCACCACATTTGGGTTTTCCAGCTTGCCTGATTTTCGAGCCAACCATTTTTAGGACCTCCATTTGCTGGTGATCGAGAGCACTATGAAAAACTAATTTAACACAGGAGTCCTGAGCCCAAAGCCACCCCTGTAAACAATTCGGCATAAATTTATAACACGCAAATGACAGGTCATGTCAAAACTAGGCCACTCGCGATGACGTCACGTGATATGACGCGATATGGCGTAATATGACGTCACACAACTACACAAAAACAATGTTTGCTTATAGCTCCCGTCTCTCGTGTCCAGCTGTAATCATTCGAGATCGCATCTTGCCGCCCTGTCACCTCACTGTGCATTCCATTTCGTATCGACGCCGTCATAGATCTCACCAACGTATTCCAATTTAAAATAACTGCACTGCGTAGCATTAGCGGCGCACAACAAGGCGTGTTATGAATTCCCACATCACAGCAGCCGAGTATCATAAACCCCGTATGTAGCCCTGCCCAGTGTTACCCCAGTATGATAAGCCCGGTGTCATAAGCCCGGTATCATATGCTCGGCATCATAAACCCAGTACCATAACCCCAGTATCATAACCTCAGTATCATAACCCCAGTATCATAACCCCAGTATCATAAGCCCAGTGTCATAACCCCAGCATCATAAGCCCAGTATCATAACCCCAGCATCATAAGCCCAGTATCATATGTCCGGAATCATGACCCCAGTATCATAAACCCAGTGTCATAACCCCAGCATCATAACCCCAGTACCATAACCCCAGTATCATAACCCCAGTATCATAACCCCAGTATCATAACCCCAGTATCATAAGCCCAGTAGCATGTACGTGGTTTCGCTGATGACGTCATCCGCCTGACCGCTTGCTCAGCCGGGATTTTAGTGGGGC